CTTCCGTAGACCAACCACCGGGCCCCGGACTGGTACTGGTCTGTGGAACATTTTCTACCGGGCCGCCGGTTTGCTGGGCGCCGCCATCTTGTTTCGATGAGAAAGTGCTTCCAGGTGAGCTTTTCCGGTTGGAAAGCGGTGTTTGGGTCAAGAAGGAAACCTCGTGCCTTAGTTTCATTGAAGGGGGGGCGGCTTTGAACGAAGAGCCGTCCCGATGGTGGAGGAGATTAAGAAAGCACAAAAAAGGTACAAAGGAGGAGTTGAAGGTGGTGGGGAGAAGCGGGGGACGGCTGGCTGGCCGGTCGCTTGGCTCGCCTTGCCTTGTCACGTATGCTGATGCCGGTCCCAGGCCGCGGATCATTTTGTGATGCCGGTACGGGGCCGTGGCACAAAAAAGGTTGGGGGCCACTGCCGTAGACTACATGGGTATTGGGGTTTGGGCTTGGAAAAGTATTGTTTTATTCTATGGACTGGGGTTCGGGAACCTCAGAGTTAGTTTTGCTTCGACGTTACCATGCCGCATATTCAATAAACAGTAAGATTTTTAGAAGTGGAATGATCCTGGACTTTTATTTGAATTCACAAGCTGGATGTTGAGACACTGTCGTTCCCAAGGACAGTCAGGGTTAAGGTTGATTTCCTTTAGGAACTGTGCTTTGTGGGGCATGCTTAATTCTCACTTTGGTCGAATTGGAAGGGCTGTGGTTGTCTCCTCTTCCTTCAGCTCGTCTACGAGCTCAGCTGCGCTCATATTAATATAATTCGTATTAATAGCTCGGGGCAGGGAAACATGCATAAGAGAAAGAGAAAAATAAAATTGCTTCTACCGCTGCACCATAGAGAGTATCTTAACTTACTGCACCTCTGTATGGTTTGCCAATTGCACAGTGGCAGATAGGACAGCACTCCAGAGGGTTAACGTCATTGCCCAGAAGATCATGGGTTGCCCTCTCCCCTCTTTGGAAGAGCTTTATAGCTCCCAGTGCCTTAAGAAAGTTCAGAACATTCTCAAAGATCCATCTTATCCTGGGAACCCTTTTTTTGAACTATTACCATCTGGCAGGCAGTACAAGATAATAAAAACAAGAACAAACAGGCTGAAAAACAGCTTCTATCCCAGGGCAGTAAATCTGTTGAATTCTACTGTATAGTGCAATATTAATGCAATATCTGGGGTTTCCAGTTCGATTGTGTACAATGCGAAGGATGTGTGTTTGTGTTTATTTTCATAGTCACAATGTACACTGAAGATGGTATTTAATTTCGTTGTATGAGGTGCAACGGCAATAAAGTAAACTAAACTTAAAAACTGAAAAAGAGCAGACTCCCTGCAAAATCAAAGCTCTCCACGTTCTCAAAATTAGCAGGTACAGACCCAAAGTTACCAATTTTGCCATTCTGGCGTTGCAGTGTAGGACATTAAAAACAAAACAACCAAAGCTTCAAAGCTTTGTTCCATCTGCAGAGTCCTTAGTAGCCTCTGAGCTTGGTTTCTTTGCTTACAGACATTTCGTTACCTGTCTATGTAACACCATCAAGGCTAGAGAGTGTGGGGCTCGTTCCTTGGCAACATCGGCAGTGCAAGCTGCTGTATGCATGCATACAAAGGGAGAAAAGCAAACCAACCCTGACATCGCTCAAAAATCAACAGGGAAGCTGGGTTTGCTCAACAACCATGTTGCTAACTTAACAATTGGAGCGATTCCCTTAGCAACTAGGGTGAGAAAGTTTGTAAAAATGGGGCAGAACTCACTTTGCGAGCGTCTCGCTCAGCACCCCTCATTGGCACCATCGTGGATGAAGATTGGAGCATTCTCCTATACCCCACACTTTACTTTGTGATTAAATGCAAGAACAACACACTCTACCAGGGGTTGGGCTTCAAAAATGTTAGCAAGGGGTTCTCCACCCGGTTACTGGGTGGGCGTGGCCATGATGGGAGTGGCCTAGTCAGCCTCCTGCATCACGACCGGGGAAGGCATTTTTGAGCTTCTTGGGCTCCGAAGGCTTTCCTTGAGCCTCCAGGAAGGCAAAAATCGCCTTCCCGGACTCCGGAGGCTCTCTGGAAGCTGGAAATGGGCCCATTTCCGTCCTTCCTCAACTTCCAGGTGGCCATTTTTTCACCCTCCCTGAGCCTCCATGCCTGCCCTGCACTTATCTGCATCTAAAATGGGCCACCTGGGGACACCTGGGAGGGAAGAGGCAGGGCGGGGCAGGGTGAGTGGGGCCAGCCAGGAGTGGGATTTGGGGGTCTTTGGACTACCCAGAATTTCAGCTAGGCGCTCTCCCTGCGAACCCCCAGCCGCCCACTGGTGGACTCTTCACACAAATCCTTCTACTTTTTTGAAATGATTTCTTAGGTTGAACGAAAGCCGCCCAGGGCAAAAACCAAGCAAATAAACAAACCAGAACAGAACTCTCTGACCGGTATTTTGCCAATTACCCATCTGATCCCACAATTCAGCTGGAGGCGACCTTGTGGCAGCTATCTTTAGAAAGCTTCTCTCAAAGGTTGACTGCCCAGATCTAATTCCTTGAATCTGGGATATTTAGGAAGTAAAGGTTCGTACACTCAGGCAAAGCGTGCAACACTGCACAGGTAGCCCTCGAAATACAACAGTTTGCTCAGTGGCCGTTGAAGCATCTCCATGGCCACCTGGTTTGCAGATTTGCTTGACCCCCGACTCACATTTATGACGGTTGCAGTATCCCAGTGTCACGTGATCCCCTTTTATGGCCTTCCGACAAGCCAAGTCCATGGGGGAAACCAGATTCACTTAACAACCATTAAGTTACTCATTGAAATACCTGCGGTGACTCACCTAACAAATGTGGCAAGAAAAGCTGTCAACTTACTTCACCAATTTCTCACTTAGCCACATGAATTTTGGGCTTGACTATGCTCGTAGGTTGTGGACTTAGCTGTACAGGAGTGTCTCCATCAGTATTGTAAATAAGCTCAATCCCAACTTCGCTGTTGATCACTCTGCAGAATACCAGAGCTGGAAGGAGCCTTGGAGGTCTTCTAGTTCAGGGGTCACCAACCTTTTGGACCTCAGGGACCACCAACCTCATCATTTTAAATCCCACGGACCAGAGACCCTTCAGAAAATCCCTCCAAAAGTCTGCAGGAAAATTCCCCACCCCGTTTTCCAACCGATCGGTCATTCTTTATTTGGGATCGCAGGATACTGTTACCAGCTCTGTTCTCAGGGGGAGAGAGAGAGAGAGAGAGAGAGAGAGAGAGAGACTTTTGGCTTCATGCAAGGAAAGCAGCAGAAGTCTTTCTTTCTCTCCCCCAAACTCCCCCAGAAATGGGTCTTTGTGAGACTTGTCATGCCGGCACGGCCTCTTGGAGGAGGAGGCCTTGCAGGGTCCCAAAGACTCATTTCTGGTGGAGTTTGGGGGAGAGAAAGAAAGACTTTTGCTGCTTTGCGTGCAGCCAAAAGCAGAAGAAGACAGAAGCGCAAAGAAGCAGCCCGGTGGCCAGGCGAGGTGTGTGAGGTGAGTGGGGCAAGTTCCCCCCTCCACCCTTTCCCCCCTCCCCTCATTACCTCATGTTGTTTGCAATGCAAGTGATGCAAGCCTTGTGTTCCCATGGGCCATGTGGGCGGCGCAGCCTTGTGTTCCCACTCAGCCTGGATTAATTGTTTTGGGGGGTGCTTTGGGGGTGAAATTTCTCTGAGGACTACCAAAAATTTTTCGCGGACCACCAGTGGTCCCCGGCCCACTGGTTGGCGACCACTGTTCTAGTCCAAACCTCTACTTAATAAGAGATCCTACCATTCCATTCTGGACAAATGGCTGTCCAATCTCTTCTTAAAAACCTCCAGTGATGGAGCACCCAGAACTTCTGAAGGCAACTTCTGTTCCACTGGTTAATTGTCCTCACTGTTAGGAAATTCCTCCTTAGTTCTCGGTTGGTTCCCTCTTTGATCAACTTCCGTAAGTTGTTTCTTGTCAGATGATTTTAGGGCAGATATATCAGCTTATTTGTGATAGGGAATCAGTACAGAAAAAAAATATACATTACAGGTAATCCTCAACTTATAACCATTCACTTGGCAGCTCTTCCAATTTACACCAACACTGAAGAAAGTTACTTACGATCAGTTCTGGCGCTTGGAAGCATTGAGGAAATCCGGAAGTATTTGATTTGGCTAGCTAGTTGCATGAAGTGGGGTAGGGTAGGGTAACGTTAGGGCAGGGTTTTCCAACCTTGGCTACTTTAAGATGGGTGTCCCAAAGGTGCTTTTTTTTCCCCCAAGAGGCAACTGGACTTTCTGGTTTTTGCTTGAAGATGGTTTTGCTTCTCATCCAAGAAGAGCTTCTTGGATGAGAAGCGAAACGTCTTCAAAGAATAACAAGAAAGTCCAGTTGTCTCTTAGGAAAAAAAGCACCTTTGGGACAACATGACCTGGAGGATTGAAAATCTCCATAGTGACCAAGGGTCTTCAAACTTGGCAAGTTTAAGACTTGTGGACTTCAACTCCCAGGATCTCATGAGCTAACATGACTGGAGGAGGAATTCTGGGAGTGGAAGTCCAC